TTTTTATAAGCTCTCTCTATAAACTGGATATTAATTCCTTACCAGATACATGTGTTGAAAATATTTTCTCATTATATGAGTTTGATGAAAGTAAGTCTGAAGGCCCTTTTCTAGGTCTTAAGATTTTCTCTGCCTTAATAAATATGTCTATTGGAACACAATTTGACCTTTCCTTAAGTTGCTACTATTGTAAATAGTAAATTTCTGTGCCATCAAAATTTTTAGGTATTCAGAGGTGGGTCATCTACCTTTATGTTAAGACAGCCCCAGAGAGACATACTAGCCTGGTTTCTACTTTCTAAACTCCTCCTGTGGTCTCATCTCAGTGAAGATCCTTTCAAAAGGCGAGAGTTTATTGCCTGCTCTGCTTCTGCTTCCTGTTCCCAATCTCATTTTGTCTTGTCAGTCTTGAAGTTTATCCAAGGATAGAACTGAAAAAGAAACAAGGTAATCCTAGTTTTTGTACTTACTATCTTCATGACCTTGGGCAAGTTACTAACCTCTCAACTTTATCAATAAAAATGTTGGGACCAGCAGTTGGTATAATGGCTATGTTGCTGGACTCCCATGTGGTCGACCGTGGTTTGAGACTGGGATGCAGTGGCTTAAACTCACACCAGGTACGTGTGCATGCGTGCCCAAGATCCCAGGAGGAAATGGAAGAGAAGGGATTGTGGTATGGCCATCCCCATTGGGGGATAATTTCTCACTTTCTGTCTCTTTGTCTTTCTGGTGGGTGCACACGCCCTGCATCAAAAAATCCTCTCCTAAAAAAGAAAAAAAAAAAATGTTACTGGGAGGGCCCAGCAGGTGACCTGGTGGTTAAAGGCTCTGGATTCCCATATTGCTGAAGGCGGTTGAATCTGAGACCTGGCTACTTGCTTTCTCATATTCCCTTTCTCTCTTTCTGTCTCTTGTCTAGTCACATTAAAAAATAATAACAAATGGAAATCAATAAATCTTAAAAAAAATGTTACTGGGATAATTAAATGAGTAATACATGTGAAAACTCAGAACCAGCAGTCGACGTAATGGCTATGTCGCTGGACTCCCCATGTAGTGAACCACGCGCGGTTCGAGTCGCAGACCTGGTGGCTTAAGCTCATGCCGCAGCATGCGTGCGTGCCCAAAATCCCAAGAAAAGAATGGAGGAGAAGGGATTGCGGTGTGACCATCCACCCCGGGGGGAGGGGAGGAGGTGATTTTTTTGCCTTCTGTCTCTCTGTCTCTGTCTTCCTGGCTAGCGCACATGCCCTATTGGGCAAAAACCTTTCAAGAAAAAAAAATACATGTGAAAACTCAAAGAACACAATCTGGCATACAGTAAACTCTAAATAAATGTTAGTTCTTAACTTAGATAAAACATGTTTGGAGCGTGATAAGGGTGTAGGAAGTAATTTTCTTTTAACTTTGGTTTTTGTCCTTTTTTTTTTTTCTTTTTTTTTTTTTTGCGGGGGAGTGATTTTTTGCTGTAGGGCATGTATGCTCACCAGAGAGACAGACAGAAAGCGAGAAATCACCTCTAGGGATGATGGCCATATCACAATCCCTTCTCCATCCTCCTCTTGGGATCTTGGGCATGCATGTACACGCGCTCAGCTTGAGTTTAAAGCTGCCAGGTCTGGGACTTGGACAGTCCCACTATGTGGGAGTCCAGCGACGTAACCATTACGTCATCCACTGGTCCCTTGTCTTTCCTTTTAATTTTAATATTGGTTTATTTCTCTTCTGGAAATGTGAAGTTTGACTTAAGGGGTGACCATCCCACTTTGCCTGGTCAGAACTGGACGACATGTGTCCTGGCATCCCATTTAGTTGGTATCCCTGTTCATTCCCAGAGATCCTGATTTTAGTGACACATTATATGGCCACCTTAGATTTGACAAGAGTGAATTATTACTATGGTTTTGCATTTCTCTTTCATTTCCAATTACCTTCATGTAATAGCAACTATAAAACACATATTTGTCCTACATTTCTACTTTTCTGTCTCTAATAATTAGACTAAGGGGAAAACATGTTTAAAACCCAAAGTCCAGGTGTCAGCAGGTGGCATGGTGGTTAAGGTACTGGACTCCCACATGGCCAACTGCAGTTTAAGTCCTGAACCTGGCAGCTTGAAACTACGCTGGGCACGTGTGTGTGCATGCCCCAAATCCTGAGAGAATGGAGGAGAAGGGATTGTGGTGTGGCCATCCATTTCTCACTTTCTCTCTCTCTCTCTGTTGACTCCTATAGCAAAAAATCTCCTTAAAAAAAAAAAAAAAAAAGTGCAGGTACCATTTTTTTTCCTCTGTAAACTGACATTTGATAAGGAAGTAACTCTTCCCCATCCTAATTTCCCAAATCAGTAAGTCATACAGCTCTATTGAATTTTAGAAACCTCGTTTTAGTTTCCTCATGTTACAGGTGCAGAAATCGAGGCTCATAGAAGATGAATGTAACTTGACCCACATATGTGGTCAGTGGCAGAGCGAGCGCTCAGTCTCATACACCATAGCTCCCAGGATGCTCTCCACTGCACAAAGCAGTACAAAGTGTCTTTATGTCAAACATCAGCTTTTTCCAGCATTCCTTTAGTGTGTTCTTTTAGTGCTCTGTGGGACACAGGATAGTGAATATTTTCTTCTTACTAAGCACCTTAGCACTTTAAAGGTGCTAAAAAAGCCTGCAGTAAAGTAACTCATCTGACTTTGTTTAATCCTGCATCTTCCAGACTTTGAGGAAACTGAAAAATGTTAGCCAAGGTGTGTTTCAGTTCATTTTTTGTTGTTATTTTTGGGGAGCCAATGAATGTTTGCAAGGCAGTGTATTAAACCCTTAGATTCTTTGCTGTGCAGCTCTTACAGACTGCACTATCGTGCCTCTGGCAACCTAGAGTATCCCAGGCTTCCTTCCAGTAGTAAACACCCAAGTAAAGTCTGATAGCACTGCGTTCTTGTAGGTAGGTAAGTTCACTTCCCATGGAAAGTTGGCCTATGTAAGTCTACCAATTGACTAGAGTTACTGCTGCTTTTCATAGTATCTATCAGTATCTATTTAGTAGAAAGTTTAGCAATCTTATTCTGAACACTGTAGATAGATTCTTCTTTGCATATGTTTGTACATGTATGTACGGAACAGTGGTTTTCTTAAACATGAATTCCTAAGATTATGTGGTGTCAGAAGCAGAGATGAAAATAAATTCTAAGAATCTTGACACAGTCCTATTTTCCAGCAGGTTTTTTTTTTGTTCTTGTGTCTATGTGTGTGTGTGTTATGGGTGTATGTGTGTGCATACATGCATGCATATCATGCTTTGACAGGGCCTCTCTGTGTCACAATCATCCTGCCTCGGGCTCCCAAGTCCCTGGGAGTATAGGTACTTGTCATAGCACCTGACTATTTAGGGTGGGCCAGGAACCAAAACCAGACCTCCCATGTGACTTCAGCCTGCCAGACAGCAGCATCCAGCAAGCAAGCTTTTGTGATAATTTACCCATGTCTGTGTGTGTTTACTTGTTAGACAGTATCCTTCACTATGAGGTTGGATTAAATGCCTACTGATTGGTTTCCTAACAATTCCAATAAAAGTTTTTAAATTATGTTTTCCTTTAAACTCTATCCCTTCTAGTCAGATAAATTTCACATATCCAGATGGTATGAGGATTAAGAAGCATGCCTATTAATCCTGTTCTTTCTTAGAATTTCTTCTCTTTGCATGTCTCCTGCTAGCAGCTCGGAGAGCTAAGGTTCCATGACTCAGAATGTTATCTGTAATTGTAAAGTCCTCTCTTATTTGCTACCACCCTGTCCATGTTACGTCATAATATCAGAAAATAGAAAGCATTTTTATTTCAGGACTTTATGGGAAGAATAGATAAAATTATTTTTCCTTGTGTCTCACTATATTTCAAATTTGTTATAGAACAAACACACTAAAGGTAATTTTAATTGTTTACCTTTCCTTTCCCCTCTTTGAGTAAAATGCCCCAATACATATATTAAAGGTCAATTTAAGCATTTTTCTTTAAATAATTATTTATTTAATTGTACTTAATATTGTTATTTTTCAATACCCTAGTTTGCTATTGGGTACGTATACTCACCAGAGAGAGAAAGAAAAAAGAAAAAAGTGAGAAAGCAAGCTGCCAGGCCAAGACTTGAACTGCAGTCAGCCATGTGGGAGTCCAGCACCTTAACCACCACTCCACCACTGTTGGCCCCTTAAGTACTTTTTTAAAAGGATTTTTAAAAAATAATTATTGATTTAATATTTTTATTATTATTATTTTAATTTGCTATGGGGCCCGTGCACTCACCAGAGAGAGACAGGAAGAGAGAGAGAAGTGAGAAAGCAAACTGCCTGGTCCAGGACTCAAACCACAGTCGGCCATGTGAGAGTGCAACACCTTGACTACTATGTTGCCTGCTTAATTTTCAAATTTTTTGTAAGTTTTCACCTTAGGGTGTGTGCCCTCGCCAGAGAGAGATAGGAGAGGGAAAGTGAGAAATCATTCCCCATTGGGGAAAGCCCATACTGCAGTCCTTTCTCCATTTTCCTCTTGGGATTTTGGGCATGCATGTACATGTGCTTGGCGTGATTTTCAAACCGCTGGGTTTGAGTCTGGAACCTATAGTCAGCCATATAGGAGTCCAGTGCCATATCCACTACGCCACTTGCTGACCCCCATTTTAAAATGTTTTCAATATAAATGTAAGTGCTCTTAAGACAGAAATCAACATGCTAGCAATCACTATCTGCTCTTTTATATGTAGTACTGTTATCAGACTCCTAAGTATTTATAAAAAATGGAATGTTAGATTAGGTATATTTTATGACTCAGAATTGCAGCTAACACAGATTCATGATTTAATCTGAACGATAATGTTTATATTTTCTGAAAATTTTACATTTGAATTTGACAGCATGTCATTTGCAGATGAAACCAGTTTTCAGTAGCTTACTTTTTTAAAAAAAACTGTAATTTGAGATAAATTTGAAAAAAATGAATAAAATTATTTTTGTTTCATATCAAGAAATGGATGAAAAGAGGCTGCTGGATCCAGGGTTGAAGGTTCATAAAGGCCTCTGGGATTATACTCCGAAGAACCAGCAGATGGAATGCCTGAGTGACTGAAGAAAATGGGTGCTAATGCATCTAACTATCCTCATTCATGTTCCCCGAGGGTAGGGGGAAATTCACAGGCCCAACAGACTTTTATAGGTAACTTTCAGCCTTACTACCTTCTTCTTCTTTTGTGACTATATGTAGAGTTTATTTATTATTATAGCGGTCTTTGTGGATTTAAAAAAAAATTGAGCTGTTGAAAAATTATTACAAGTAATAATTCTGCAGAATCAAGATTTTTTACCACTAAAATGTAAACCTGGCTTATATAATTTTTATCCTACATCAACTATTTATAGCACAATTGATACTTTCTTTGGTTGTCTTAACCATAATTATCAGTTATCCTAGGCAATCTAGCAAACTTCATTGTGTAAAAATAGTGAAATATATATTTCTTGTGTCCCAGTCCATTTGTTTTGCCCTTACAAATACGACTGATGGTTAAAAAGAAGGAAGAATTTGTTTTTACAATCAAGTGATAATTTTTTTTTTTTTTAATTTGCTATAGGGCAAATGTACTTGCCTGAGAGAAAGAGAAAGATGAGAAAGAAAGTGAGGGGCCAGCAGGTGACATGGTGATTAAGGCGCTAGACCCTCCAACATGGCCGACCACTGTTCAAGTCCTGGACCTGGTGGCTTGCTTTCTCACTTTCTCTCTATCTCTCTCTCTATCTCTGTCTCTCTCTGAACAAATTAAGTAAATAAATTAATTAAATTAAATAATTCTTTAAAAAATAAAAAAAGAAAGTGAGAGAGTATCCCCCGGGGGGCTAGCCACTACCCAATCCCTTTTCCATTCTCCCCTCAGGATTTTGGGTATGTATGCACATGCATCTGGCATATTTTTCAAGCCTGTGGGTCCTGGACTCAAACTATGCAGTGAGTTATGTGGGATCCAGTCACCTTGAATACCATACCACTGACTAGCCCACAATAATATTCTTAATTTACAAATCCGCATAGCTCTCATTTTCCAAAAATTTATGATTATGACCTGTGGTAACCATTTTTTAAAATGTATAATTATTTGCTCTTTTTGTTCCTGTTTATTATTTAATAAAATTAGTTATTCATTTTAAGTTAGTTATTTTTTCCTTGACAAAATTAGACTTTATTTAGACAATCAGAAATGTATGCTTGGAATTTTTTTTCTTTTTACTATGGAAAATTTTAAATGAGTGTTGGAAAAGAAACAAATTTTTATATGTTTAATTTTCTTCTTAGGGACATCATCGTATTCTCAGCAAGGCTATGGTTGCGAATCAAAATTGTATAGTCTTGACCATGGCCATGAGAAACCACAAGACAAAAAAAAGAGAACCTCTGGTCTCGCTACCCTCAAAAAGAAGTTTATTAAGCGTCGAAAATCCAATAGGTCTGCTGATCACGCCAAGCAGATGCGAGAACTCCTCTCTGGGTGGGATGTTAGAGATGTCAATGCATTAGTGGAGGAATACGAGGGAACTTCAGCCTTAAAGGAGCTTTCTCTACAAGCCAGCCTGGCTAGACCAGAAGCCCGGACACTGCAGAAAGATATGGCTGATCTTTATGAGTACAAGTATTGTACAGATGTAGACTTAATATTTCAAGAAACTTGTTTTCCTGTTCATCGTGCAATTTTGGCAGCAAGGTGTCCATTTTTTAAAACACTGCTTTCTTCCTCACCTGAGTATGGGGCAGAGATAATAATGGACATCAATACAGCTGGTATTGACATGCCCATGTTTTCTGCTTTGTTACACTACCTTTATACGGGAGAGTTCGGAATGGAGGACTCAAGGTTTCAAAATGTCGATATTCTTGTTCAGCTTAGTGAAGAATTTGGAACACCAAATTCACTTGATGTAGATATGCGTGGACTCTTTGATTACATGTGTTATTATGATGTCGTCCTTAGTTTTTCTTCAGACTCTGAACTGGTTGAAGCTTTTGGTGGAAATCAGAACTGTCTAGATGAAGAGCTCAAAGCCCACAAGGCTATCATTTCTGCACGGTCCCCATTTTTTCGAAATTTGTTACAAAGGAGAATACGGACTGGTGAAGAAATAACAGACCGAACTTTAAGGACCCCCACAAGAATTATATTAGATGAGTCCATTATACCAAAAAAATATGCAAAAGTGATATTACACTGTATGTATACTGACATAGTGGACCTCTCTGTTTTGCACTGTAGCCCCTCTGTGGGGAGTCTCAGTGAAGTTCAGGCTCTCGTTGCAGGGAAGCCAAACATGACCAGGGCAGAAGAAGCCATGGAACTTTACCACATAGCGCTGTTCTTGGAATTTAACATGCTTGCACAAGGTATGAAATTCTCATTTTAAATTTGATTTTTAGAATTATGGATTATCTTCCAACTTGAAAACATAACTAGTACATTCTGTGATACTATGTTTGAGATGTGACAGGGTCAGTTTTTTTCAACCTACAGTTAAGGACATCGGAGAGTGAAGATCAGTATTAATGTGCCCTTCACTTAATATTAAAGTCAAACATTGAATAATAGTGACTAAGAGATAAGATTTGAGGTTCTTTCTTCCTTAACATAAGACAACGGGTGTGGGAATATATAATTATCACCTACAATTTATCTTTACCAAGCCTTGAACTAGCCTGCTTACCCAGATTTCAAGGTTAGATTGTCATATTTATATTCATTGCCTTGTTGATGCTTAAATGTTTGGAATAAGAATAAAAATTCATTACAAAAATTAAAATAGTTCAATTTGATACAAGTGTATTTGAATCAGAGAATTGAGCAGGGCTTATGATATAAATTGTAAAATATTTTGTGTCTTATATTTAGGCTCAACTTGTACCTCAGGCAACAGCCTACAACATGTAAAGCATAGTGAGTAAGAGTTAGACTCCTGTGTCTTCATTTAATTTAAAATAAAATTTTCAAATTAGTACAGTACATTTTTTGTTACAAGCAAATGAATGCATGAAAGTTAGATTAAAATAAATATGTATTTGTTGGTAAATGTTAGAATCTTAACATTTCAGAGCTGGAAAGAGATCTGTGGGAGAAGAAAGGGAATTTGCTCTCTTGACAGAATGAACGCTTAGCTTTCTGTGCATAAATTAAAAGAAAACAAGCTATATGACACAAGCGTACTTGAGAATTTTAATTTAGCTGGTGCACAGTAACTGAAAAAACATTTGAAGTTGCCAATTAAAAGAGAATGGTTTGGGTAAAATGTGGATTTAAATAAGGAGAGCTAAAGCATATTTTTCATATTTGAAGATAATATGTGTCCTGTGGTTAAATCTACCAATTAATAGGGGTTTAAAAAATTAAAAAATAAAATAAAAGCCTTGGATAACAGTGTCAACAATAAAAGGGGAAGAGTTATATAGAAGTCATTGATAAACATGAGTTAAATTTTTCTTTACATAAAAATTTTTAAACCTAGCCCATGGTAATAAGCACTTGTAATAGACACACCACCATTACTTGGGCTGAGGCAGATCACAACATAGTGCAACCCTGTCTGTATTTATTTACTTTTTCTTTCTTTCTTTTTTTTAATTGTTAGAGATAGAATGAGGGAGAGGGAGAAAACACCCTACAGGAGGTTACAGTTACACTGCAGTCCCTTCTCCATTTCTCCCATCTCATCGGGATTTAGGGCATGCACACACACTCAATGTGTTTCTCAAGCTACCAGGGCTGGGATCATAACTGAAGTTTGCCATGTTGGATCTGATTTCCCTTAACCACTAGACTACGGGGCTGGTTTGGGACACGGTCTTTAAAAATATATGTATTTTTTTATGTTATTTACTATTCTCATTTTAGTAATAGACTAGCTTTGTTTTATACTACAATCAAAACATTATTAAACATTAATCGTAGCCTATTTGTTGTCAGACTAAAGGAAAAATCATGTTATCAGAAATAATATTTTAGGGGCCAGCAGGTGGCATGGTAGTTAATGTGTTAGACTCCCCCATGGCTGACTATGGTTTAAGTCTTAGACCTGGTGTCTTTTTATTTATTTTTTTTTTTGGAGAGGTTTTTGCTATAGGGCACGTGCGCTTGCCAGACAGACAGAGAGACAGAAAGTGAGAAATCACCCCCCAGGGGAGGATGGCCATGCCGCAATTCCTTCTCCTCCGTTCTCCTCTCGGGATCTTGGGCACGCACGCACACGCGCCCGGTGTGAGTTTAAGCCACCGGGTCTGGGACTCGATCTGCGGTTGACTCTCGTGGGAGTCCAGTGACATAGCAATTACACTAACTGCTGGTCCCTAGACCTGGTGTCTTGCTTTCTCACTTTCTCTGTCTCTCTCTCTCACTCTCTCTCTTTGCTGAGCACACATATCTCATAACAAACTTTAAAAATATAATAATATGTAAAATTTAATTAAAAATTCTTTTAAAAAATAATCACCTTTCAGCTTCTACCATTTATTTATTCTGTAAAACCAAATTTGTCAGAAAATGCTTCCAGGGACCAGCAGATGGTGTAACGGTTACATCGTTGGACTCCCGTTAATTGACTGCGGTTAGAGTCCTGGACCCAGCTGCTTAAACTCATACTGGGCACATGTGCAGGCGTGACCACTCCCCCTGGGGGGGTGGTTTCTAGCTTTCTGTCTCTATCTCTCTTTGTCTTTCTAGCAAGCACACATGCCCTATAGCTAAAAAAAAAAAAAAAAAAAAAAAAAGACCCCCTCAAAAAAAAATTTCAGAACATTTGAAGTTTGTAGTATTACCAAGAAGTTATAATAAATAATCTGTTTTATCAAGTTGTTTTTATTTTTGATGTGTTAATTTAAAAATGTATTACATATACTTTGCCCCTTAAAAAAAAAGGGATATTTTAATGTAATTTTTAAAGTTTTGAGTGAAATGTAAAGTTTTGAGTTAGCTTTTGATTCTTTGATAATTCTTAATTCCTTATCTACAGTTCTTTTATCTTCTTGAGTTGTTTTTTTTTCAATAAGCTAGAAATTATATTTTATTCAGTATATTTAAATATATAAAACTCCTTACATTAGCTCAATTTTTTTCTTTTTTGGTTTTGTTGTTTTTTAATTGCCAGAAGACACTTGCACTTGCTGGAGAGGGACAGAGAGAGAGCAAGAGAGAGAAAACACCCCTTTTCCCCCATGTCTCCATCTAGTCTGGAATTTGTGCATGCGCACACACACGTGCAGCATGTTTTTCAAACGACCAGGACCAATTTCACTTAGCCATGTGAGATATGGCTCCTGTGACCACTAGGCTATTGGGCCAACCCAATTAATCTAGTTATTTAAAACAAACAAACAGATAAACAAATAATATACAGAAATTCTCATAAATTTAGATGTATGTGTTCTTCTGTTTTCTTTCATTACCCAAATTACCGATTGGGTTACTTGTTTGTGTTTTGCACTCCATGTGGGACACTTCTTTCTCGTATACCTCTGGTACTATTCATAGTAGAGTTTATAACAGAATATAACTTCAGCATAATTTTTACCTCATTTCCTTGGGAAGAAGAATATTAGTTACCTTGAGATGGTTATTAGACTATAAAAGTTAAGAGCTCAGGGAACCAGCAGTTAACGTAATGGCTATGTCGCTGGACTCCCACGTAGTCGACCGCAGTTCGCATCCCGGACCCAGTGGCTTAAATCTCACACCGGGCACGTGTGCGTGCGTGCCCAAGATCCCAAGAGGAGAATGGAGGAGAAGGGATTGCGGCATGACCATCCCCCCTGGGGGGGTGATTTCTCGCTTTCTGTCTCTCTGTCTCTCTCTGTCTGTCTGGTGAGCGCACGCGCCCTATAGCGAAAAAAACCTCTCCAAAAAAAAAAAAGTTAAGAGCTCAGATTCTGGGGGCTGGCAGGTGGTGTGGTGATTAAGGGCACTGGATTCCCACGTGGCTGACTGTGATTGGAGTCCTGGATCTGGCGGCTTTCTCTCTCTCCCTCTCCCCGCCTCCCTCTCTAGTCAAATTAAAATAAATAAAGTTAAATAAAATAATCCTTAAAAAAAAAAAACTCAGGTTCTGGAACCAAACTGGTTTTGAATCATTCTTTGTTGTTGTTGTTAGGTTTTTGCCATAGAGTGTCTACACTCACTGGAGAGAGAGAGGGAGAAAGTGAGAAATCACCCTCCAGGGGGGATGGCTATGCTGCAGTCCCTTCTCTTCCATTGTTCTCTCAGGATTTTTGTCACACATGCCTGATGTGGTTTTTTGTTTGTTTGTTTGTTTTTTTGAGAGGTTTTTGCTATAGGGTATGTGTGCTCACCAGAAAGACAGAGAGACAGAAAGCGAGAAATCACCCCCCAGGGGGCATGGCCACGCCGCAATCCCCTCTCCTCCATTCTCCTCTCAGGATCTTGGGCACGCACGCACATGTGCCCGGTGTGAGTTTAAGCCACTGGGTCCAGGGCTCAAACTGCATTTGACTACATGGGAGTCCAGCGACATAACCATTAAGCCATCCATTGGTCCCAGCCTGATGTGATTTTAAGCCACCGTGTTCAGAGTTTGAACTGCAGTCAGCCATGTTGGAGTCCTGCACTTTAACCATCACACCACCTGTTAGCCCTAGACTCTCTCTTTACCATGTCTTAACTTGTTTGCCATAAAGCAAGTCATATAACTTCTCTCTGCCCTGTTTTCTCATTTGTAAAATAATAATAGTAAACCTTGTAAGGCAGGACTATGAGGAGTAAAAGAAATAATATATGTTAAATTATTTGAATAGCATCAGATATATATAGTAAGCATTCAGTAAATGTTAGCAGCTAAATGATAATCATCACCACTCCCATTGTCTTATTTAAAAGTACTTTTAATTTTAAAATTAATTTTATTAATTAAATCCAATACTAAGCTAATATTTTGTAGACTTTTGCTAGGTGATTATTAATTTTAAGATTTTCTTATTTTATTGCTATAGTGAGTTGATACTTACCTCTTCTTATTGGATTTACTCTATCTCCAAGTGTCTTTTTGTCAGTCTGTAATCAGCTTTTCTAACAGGAGTTCTGTTTTGTTTTGAGAGGTTTCGCTATAGGGTGCATGCGCTCACCAGAAAGACAGAGAGAGACAGAGAGACAGAAAGCGAGAAATCACCCCCAAGGGGGGATGGCCACGCTGCAATCCCTTCTCCATTCTCCTCTCAGGATCTTGGGCACGCACGCACACGCACCCAGCATGAGTTTAAACCACCAGGTCTGGGACACAAACCACAGTCAACTACCGGAGAGTCCAGTGACATAGCCATCACACTAACTGCTGGTCCCTCAACAGGAGTTCTGAAAGCAGATGAATCCTATAATATAATGAGGCATCTAT